CCCCCCATCTGTGTTGCCTTTCCTTCATAGTATGTTAAGTATCTTGGATGAAAGAAGCTGAGGAAAAACAGTGCATTTGACCTGATATGTAATGCCTGAGTATACCTTACAGATACTATTAGATCAAAAAATCTCAAGTCCACACACTATGCACAGTTAATGAACATATGAAATTTTTTTTTGAAAAATAAAAAACTTGCCGTGCTTCTCAAATGGGGACAGAGTTCCTGAATAAGCTGAAGAAGCTGTGGTAAAATTTTCAATGTACATGGAGTGCAGTATGGAACACATGCATCAAAGAACCATAGTTCTTTCATCTGTAGTCTACTTGCTTTTCTGGTTGGAATATTTATGTTCCTCTTGCATCCATGTTTAAAGTGTTTTGACCTCTAGAGTCATCAGTAGCCTTGTATGCATCAAAAAAATTTTGCTTCACATGAAAGGTATAGGAAATCAGAGTGGAACAGTTATTGTTTGGTTCCTTTAATTTCTTTCCAGCTTCACCACAGATCTGCTTACTCTTCACTGTTCAGATGAATTGCTCTTTTGGCTTTGGTATTTTGATATTTAAGTATTTTTATAATCATAGAAATTTTGGAAAGTGTTTGTGAAGCCATTTAGTCACTACCTTCCCAAAAAGATTAGCTACACTTACACCCATTTTAAGAAACAATCAGGTGAATACTCTTTTAGGGTTTCCAGTGTTGGCTGTTTCAGAACTTCCTTAGGGAAAGTGAGTTGTTAGTTGCCCCGTGACCTTTTGTGAGTATTTTAGCATATGTGTTACTTTCTTCAGGTAATTTGTTTCTGGTAGGTAATTCTTTTTCCTACATAGTCTACTGTAAGTATTGTTCATATGAGGATGTTACGGGGCATACGGAAATACTAAAAGTGCTTTATTAGGAGAACTGCATGTGTCATGAAATATGTGATTTGTAAGTCTTCTACATGTGGAATCTGCAAAATTAAGTCATCTGATGCAGTAAGTAATGAGACCTGTTTCAGAATCAGGTTACAAGACCACTTGTAGAAAAACTTTCTGTTTTGAAAGTGGTGTGGTTGTGGTCTGAATAGCTCAAATCAGTATTATCAGAGACTATATGATTCAGAGACTCTGTAATAACTAACCAGAAACCATTACCAAAAGTGTATGGAAATGATTTGTTCAGGGGCAGATTTATAACTGAAGTTTCATCTGGTAGTCAGAATATCCTTGAACCTCTCTTTGCTGGGTGGAGTATTGTAAGTACTTCTGACCCCATCTAAGTATGTGATCTTTGCTCTCAAGGCATCACATAGTGTACCTTCACAAATTCCTCATTTGCCATTGATTCTTCATAGCATTAGTTTCTTGACCTTCATTCATCAGTCTGTCTGTAACTGGTAATCTACTTAGTTATAACTCTCATAGTTGTGGTTATGTCACAGCCCTGGTTACTACTCACGTTGGTGTTGTTCGTCTCTATCTACCTCATTGCTAACCTCACTGGTGTGCAGGAAAGTGTGATCAGTGTATGTGATAGAGACAGACCTGTGGAAGTTTAAAGAATAGAACTATTATGTTTAATGAGATGGCTCCTAACTGAATGGTCTTAGACTTGGAAGTACCAGAGTATGTCTGCTTTCATATTGCCTCCCTTCAGCCAAAAAATCTCTGTTGCTCTTTCTTGTTATCATCTTTGATCATTATAATCTAGGGAAGATTTGGTCTCATGACATCTGTACTCTTGGCTATATTTTTCCTAACGTGCTTGTAGTAGATCTTGGTCATCTCCGGTGTTTTAATTCACAGGGAACAAGATCTTTTAGATCCATGCAAGATTTGTTTGTCCTGGCAACTGAAAAAAAGGGCTAGGAATCTTTTGTATTTAAGGACTGTCTAAATCAATTGACTATGCAGCACTTTGCACCCTGGGGTAACCTAGGGTGATTGGATTACACAAAGGCAGTAGGGAAGCACCAGTGGTGTAGTGGTATCATGCAAGATTCCCATTCTTGCGACCCGGGTTCGATTCCCGGCTGGTGCAGGAAAATTCACCTTATCCCATGCTGTGCAGCTACAGCCCTAGAATTTCTAAATACTCAGGTCGTTCTTGGCTGCCTCAAAAATCTGTGGTTACACCGCTGGCAGTTTCAGGTACAGCTGAGTATTTTGGTAGGGGCTATTACACATCCTGCAGTATCTTTGAAAAATGCTTGTATGTGAATTTGTGTAAATTAGTCAGTCATGACTCTAAACACAGGGTCTTAAACAGGTGTGTGGCATTGCTGAAGCGTCGAGGTCATACTTTGCATTTTGGAAAGATCCTATGGCAGTTTCAGTTCTATTGGGATTGAGTTTCTTTCTCCATCAGATTGGTCAACTGCGAGCGTCGAGGTCATACTTTGCATTTTGGAAAGATTCTATTGGGATTGAGTTCCTTTCTCCATCAGATTGGTCAACTGCTTGTGAATCACAGTAAACTGAGTCTAGCTATGGACAATCTCTTAATAGAGAAAGAGCAATTGTGATACATATACATGGTATATGTTAGGTATAGCTCATCAAGGTGCATATAGGCAATGTTTTCTGTCCTCTTGCTTTGTGCTTCTGTGTTACTTGGATTTTGGGAAGGGAAAATAAGTTGCTGTGGGCTTGCACTGTTTTACAGGTTTTTCAAGGACTGTATAGAAGATACTGCTGACTGTAAGACTGTACATTTAGGAGCCAGCAGTTCACATGCACTGAAAGTGGAATGTGCAGAGAGAGAGAGAGAGTGTGTGTGTATATGAAGTAATCCCTGAAGTTTAGTCCTTGTGCAGTTAGAAATCTTTGGGGTTTGCAAGGTAAATTATGTTTTCTTCCTTTAACTAAGCAATGACACCCTGTATTAAAGGAGCTGATCTTTGAGAGAAATATTCTGGCCACTAATTCAGATGAGGAAATGTGCGATCAGTGCTGACCTTTTGTGGGTTTGCAGATTAAGTATCAGGAACAATGTTGTATGTCTGGTGAAGATCCTTACAATGCCATTTAGGTTTATCATTCTAATTTGGCAGATACTCAGTGGCAGTAAACAGTTTATTTTTCAGTGATCCCATTCTTCTACAAAGAAACATTCTATTGAAGAATCTTAGGTTCTGATGATACAGAGGTTGTATTCTGCAGTCAAATTAATATCAATGTTTACATGTAGGTTTTTTGTATTTGATTCAGTTTGGTTTTATCTGATGACACAGGACATGGGAAAGGCTGAGATACTGAATGCCTTCTTTGCTTCAGTCTTTACTAGCAAAAGCCAGCCTTCAGGAATCTCAGGTCCCAGAGATCGGGGGAAAGGCTGGAGTAAAGAAGGTGTACCCTTGGTGGAAGAGGAATCAGGTCAGGGAATACTTAAGCAAACTGGACATATATAAGTTCATGGGCTCTTATAGGTTGCACCCACGAGTGCTGAGGGAGCTTGCTGATGTCATTATGAGGCCACTCTCAAATAATCTTTGAGCGACTGGGAGAAGTGCCCAAGGACTGGAGGAAAGCAAATGTCACTCCTTTGTTCAAGAAAGGCAAGAAGGAGGACCCAAGGAACTACAGGCTAGTCAGCCTCACCTCAATCCCTGGGAAGGTGATGAGCAGCTAATCCTGGAAACCATTTTCCTGGCACATTTCACAAGGATAAGAAGGTCATCAGGAGTAGTAAGCATGAACTCACCAAAGGGAAGTCATACTTGACCCAGTTGATAACTTTCTACGGTGAAATGACTGGCCTGGTAGATGAGGGGGAGCAGTGGATATTGTCTACCTGGATTTCAGTGAGGCTTTCAACACAGTTTCCCATTAAGATCCTCATAGACAAGCTGTTGATACATGGTCTCAGTGAGCAGACAGTGAAAGGGCTTGAAAACTGGCTGAATGGCCAAGCCCAGAGGGCAGTGCTCAGCAGCACAAAGACTAGTTGGAGGCCAGTAACTAGCCTCCAGGGGACAATATTGGGTCCAGTCCTGTTTAACATCTTTGTTAATGATCTGGATGATGGGGGCAAAGTGTACCGTCAGGAAGTTTGCTGATGACACCAAACTGGAAGGAGTGGCTGGTACACTGGACGCCATGCTGCCATCCAGAGGGACCTCAACAGAGTGGAGAATGGGTGGAAAGGAACCTCATGAAGCTCAACAAGGAGGAGTGCACAGTCCTGAACCTGGGGAAGAACAATTCCATGCACCAATATATGCTGGGGGCCACCCAGCTGGAAAACGGCTTGGCAGAAAAGGCCCTGGAGGACACCAAGTTGAACATGAGCCAGCAATGTGCCTTTGCCACAAAGAAGGCCAATGGCATCTTGGGCTGAATTAGGAGGAATGTTGCTTGCAGGTCATGGGAGATGATCCTTCCTTTCTACTCAGCACTGGTGAGGCCACACCTGGAGTACTGGGTGCAGTTCTGGACTCCTCAGTACAAGAGAGTCATCGACATGGACATACTGGAGAGAGTCCAACAAAGGGCCATGAAGATGATGAAGGGATGGGAGCATCTCTCCTATAAGGAAAGGCTGAGAGACCTAGAACTGTTCAGCCTGGAGAAGAGAAGGCTCAGGGGTGATCTTAATAAATACCTTTGTATACATATCTAAATATATGTATATAAATATCTGAAGGGAAGATGTATGGAGCCAGGTTCTTTTCAATGGTGCCTAGTGACAGGACCAGAGGCAATGGGCACAAACCAAAATACAGGAGGCTCCATATGAACATCAGGAAACACTTTTTCACTGTGAGGGTGACTGAGCACTAGCACAGGTTGCTGATGCAGGTTGTGGATTCTCTATCCTTGGAGACAGTAGAATAAAGAGACTTTAAAATTTTGAAGAAGACCTTGGTGTTTTCAGCATCAAATAGCAGGATGATAAAATACTGCTTTTGATTTTAAAATGTTTTAGCTTTACTTACTCAATAATGGGTTTTACTTTTATTTTAGTTAGTATACTTTATAAAAAGAAATATAAAATTGGCTTTTATTTCAACAGTTCAAAAAAAAAGAAGGCGTATCAGTCAGAAGTTGAAACTATCTGCAAAAGCATGTGTAAGATTGAACAGCAAATCGAAAGACTAAATGAAGATCTCTGTCGTGCTGAGTTGTCCTACAGTGAAAAAAAAACGAAGTATGAGGACTTAAAAAAGAACAAAACTGCAGAAAAAATCTCTTACAAGGTATATTCTTTATTTAAATTCTTTTTCTGGAGTGGAAGAATATAAAAATAGAAAAAAATAAATGTAGAAAATATATATATGAAATAATGATCTTTGTAACAGAGAATTATTGGGCAAGCAACCTAATGTTAAAAAAAAAAAAAATTAAAACTTATGATTTTAACTGTGTATTTTAAAACACTTGAAAAATAGCAAATAACAGTAGTCCCTGGAAGAGAAGATAAATTAGTTACTAAATGGTCACAGGTAATGGCAGGTTAAAAACCTAAAATTAATACATTACATATTCTCAACCATAGAAAGACTTTGTTATTCCTAGCTGATTTAAAATGGACACTAACAAATAACAATCCCATTCTTTATGTAACTAAATTATTAGAAGAGTTTATAGATCAATATAGTTTTATTTGATGCTAAAGGTATCATTGCAAATGAAATACTACATTAGAATAATTATTTAGTTATCATTTGGATGTCATTAGTTATCTAGAATGGAAATTGTAGTTCATCCTTATATAGAGGCCTTGCCATGACTATGAAGGCTTACAAGACTTCTGTTTTTTCACTTTAGGTAATTCTTAATGAGTAGTATTGTATGTATGCATACAGCTTTTAGGATCAGTATTATTGTGGAGTGTTAGATTCAGCCTTCAGAAATATAGGAAGAAAACAATACGGGAAATTTTCAATCAATCCCTTTTTATACCAGGGACATATAAATGGTGTTTTGCATATTCTTCACTAGAGATCTTTTGCTGTATATAAATTATAGATTGCCTGGAAGGAAAGGCTTTCACAGTTTTATTTTCTGTAATAATTTTAGGACTTTCTAACTTGTAATCAGTAAATTAAGAACATTAATAATATTTTCCTGGTTATAGTATGCATTGGTATATTAGGCACTCCACATGCTTCCTGCCTTCCTTTTCACCTACCTGCTCACGAAAGGTAAAGGTATGTCCAAGTACCAGACTCTGCTTCTGAAAAGAAAAGAGGAATTGTTGGATGTGATTTAAGACAGACCCAGTTAATAAGCTTATAGAGCCAAGGTAAAAAATATTAAAACATGAGCTAGAGAACTTCAGAGCTGTTTTCAGAATGAATAGGAGTGAGTCAGTTTTGTGTTTGTTAAGGCCTTTCATAGTGCCAGGTTGTCTTCTCTTGGATCAAATTCATATTCCTGACAATATCTGAATTTTTACCACGTAGTTTTTCCTATAAGTTGTCTTTTTTGATATATTATGCTATAAAAGCCATATGTTTTAATACTAAATTTGTGTGACTTTTCTGTCTTGTTTGTTTATAAATTTGCCAAACACCATTTTCTCCACATTCTCAGTGTTGTGTGCTGCAATATTTACACAAATGGATGTTCAACTGTACAGTCAGGGGAATCTACTATGATTCTTCTTATGGTTTAAATATATAAGGGATAATAAATATTAGTCTAAGAAATTAGGATTTTAGAAGGGATTTAGGCACAGCCCTTGCTTCTTTGCTGTCCTACATCCTGGTTTTTTGTGTGTCTTAATTTATATTTTCCCTTTAAATATTAAAAATTAATGTAGAATTGACAAATTTTTCATCCATGAATTTTATAGTCACATTCTGGTTTTTTGACATCCACAACATTCTCTGGCAAGGACATCAATAGCTTTGTCATGTCTTGTGTGAAAAATTACTTAGTTTCTTTATTTTCTGCCTAGCACATACTATTTTCATATATTGCCCTGGTTCTTTCTTTCAAAAATGTATTGGTCAGTCATTCCATATTCACTTCCTACCTGTCACACATGTCTTTGTAGGCTTTTATCATGTTCTTCCTCTTCTTCAAACTGAAAACTCCTAATCCATTAACTTGTTTAATAAATGGAAACTGTCCCATGCCCGTCATCCAGTTCTGTTTTCCAGTTCCGTTATAATGGGGAAAGAGCATAGAGTATGCAATATGCAGACGCGTCTTGGGCATATATAGGGGTATAACGATGAGTTCTATTTTGTTCTCTATTCCTTTCATAACAGTTTTTAACATTACATTTATTCTTTCAAATGCAGTGGAGCATTATATTCATGATCTCGTTCCTGTTTGATTACTAGACAGCTCAGAGTCCAGCATTATAAAAAATGAAGACTTTGTCCTAATGTACAAATATACATTAATCTCCATTTAATTTTGTCCTCTGTAAATAAGAAATCCAGCTGTTTTACTAAGTCATCCCACGAAATCCCCCAATTGCCATGTTGTTTCTCAATAAATTGGAAACCACGGGATCCAGCATGGATACTTGTAGGACCCCACTGTAACTTCCGCTGTGAAAACTTATCATTGATTTCTACTATAAGTCTTCTGTCTTTAAATTCATTATGTAGTCATGTGAGGACTTTTATCCTTAACTCATGGGAAATAATACTTTATCAAATACCATGTCGGAGTCCAAGTAGACTGTATCACCCAGATAGCTCTTCTCCACATACTTCTTAAATCCTTCACAAAACCTATGAATTTTGAGGCCCTGCTTCCCAGTCATGCTGAGTCCTTTCCTATGCATCAAATTTTCCATGTGTCAGCTAATTCTTTTTTTCATCATAATTCCTATAATGAATTTGCTTCTTAGGGCTTTGAAGGTTTTATTTGTTTTGGAATTTGAGCACTTTTTCCCTATCATATTCTGTTTTCTGTGCGCTTCATGGTAAGTCTGTCTTTAAAGTGCTTCTTATCATCTGTTATCGTTGTCTCTAGCAGGCTTCTGATCAGATGTGTTTGGAAAAGGACTTGTTTTATATCCCTTGCAGATTTTTCTAAAAACTCTTATTTAGCTTGCATGATGGTATTTTAAGATTTAAATAGGCAAAGTTCAGGATCTTTTCTGTTTTCCTTTTTTAGACATAATTTCAACTTTTTTGTCTTGCTGTTAATAGCTTTCCTTCTGTTTAGTGGCATTGATTTTCTTTTTGCTATTTCCAAAGTGTCAGTCAAAACTTGGCTTCCATGTGCTTTGAGCCTCCAAGTATCATATCTGTAAGTAATCTCTGTCTGACTGGCAAGTATTTTACTCTTTTAGCTGTCCCTCATGAAGTTTTTAATAAAACCCTCTGATTTTTATTAAAAAAATCTTTTTTTTAAATTTGACTACAGTGTTACTTTTTGTATTTCGTTGTTCCTTAAGCTCTCTTCTCAAGTCATAGTGTTAGCGTCCTGGGCATGTAGTCAGCCAGAAATGTATCTCAAAGCTAAGCATTTAAGATTCGAGACAGAATTTCATTCTGTAGTTATTCTGGTTTACTTGTTGGCACCATTTAACTCCTACATGAACCCATTACTAGTGGTCATGCCTTCAGTGATGGCTTTCCAGCACACTCAAGTTGCTTCAGTGACCTTGTTAAGGAATACCTCCATTCCTACCACTTGCAGAATGACCATTCTGTCAACAGCTTTCAGTTAATATTGCTATATTTATTCTTAGTTACCATAAATTGGCAAAAGCATTGTGTTTATAATAATTTAAAGCATGCATATGCACATGAAAATGTACACAGGGAAGGTGACCGGTTGCAAGAGCTATTTGCAAGGTAAAAGTTAGTGTGAATGCAGTGCACAGAAGCTAAGATACCTCTCTACCTAAGCAACAGTTGAATAGTGGTGTATTTTGAAGATGTTCATATAAATGAAGGTCCAACTTATAGCTGACTGCCTGGTCTCTGCTGGTATTCTGCGAGAGCAATTACCTCCTGGTGTGTCTGAAAAAAGTGTCTGTCTGTAACCACCAGTTAAACTGTATCCTTGGCCTACTTAATAAAGTGAAAAATACATTCATGCAATCACCAAGTATTATCATTAGTTGTTCAAAATGTTGCTGCATTTTGGAGAGTAGTCCAGATGCCACAGGTTGTCTAACAAACTCAGAGATTTGGATTCAAATAGACTGTATGCGTATGCGGGTAAGGACGTGTGAGAGGGAGGGCAGGGCCATGGGCGCGAGTTGTTCCTTAGAGTTATCCGTGGAGCAGATGTATAAACTTTCATATGGAAAAAAAGGCTTTTACTCACTGATTATGGAATGTGTTTTCCACATGAACACTATTCTCCATCGCTTCTATTTCCTTGAATTTTCTAATAATCTTTGGGATTTGGGGTTTGAGAATTTATGGGGGTATTTGACACCTGTTTTTGTATTTTTGTATGTATGTGGCATCTGGGAGATGTTTATGACCTACTTATGCAGGAACCTCTCTCTCCAAGTGCTGATAGCATATGCACTTCCAAAGTGGATGTGAATAAAACATCTTGAATAAATACATTTCAATAATAGAATTGATTGAGTCTGTTTCTTACTTTACTTTTAGCCATGTTATGCCTAGTTTTGCTTAAGTAATTGGTTTTCCACTTCCTAAATTCCCTTAAAAAGAAAACAGAAAGCACTAATTAGGGTTTGTCTTAGGTTGTATCAGGTATAGTTATGATGGTCCGTTAATCTGACACACATTAAATTAGAGGTTTTCAAGGTGCAAATTATGGTAATGTGCTATGTAACCGTTATCCGAGAAGTGATATGAGTAGGAGAGTCATATAAGAAAGGGCTAAAACATGTTCATATTTTTACTAGAAATTACAAAGAAGTCTCATCATATAAAATGTAGAAGGCACTGGGATTTTTAAAATTTGAACGTTTGATGTTCAATATCCATTTAGGTAAGCTAGCTCAGATTCTTTGTATATTTAATTATTTTAAGCTACCAAAAAAGTGCATTAAATCTAGAAAATAGGGTTGCTTTTCTTATAGTATGGTATTTATTTATTTCCTTCTTGTGCCTGAGAGTCTGTTGTAATTTCCTTTTTTAATATAGTTTAATGATAGTTGAGAAAAAACTTAAAAGCTATGCTCATCTGTACCGTGATGTTAGTGTTAAATTTTCATTGTTGTTGTCCATTAACTTGTTTTTGTATGCATTACATATGGCTTTTTTTTTTTTTTCCCTAAGAATTCAGAGTGGAATCTTAAAAAAGAAATTCAAGATCAAAAAGGAGCTCGGAAAGTGACTCAGGTAAATATGACAGCAACCATTTTACTTCAAATCTAAATTATTCTTCTACCTTCTTTTTACTTCCTACTATGAATTAACTTTGAATACCTTGTGACCAACTCACATAGAAGGCTAATGGGTTTTGCTAAGTAATGATGCCTGCTGTTTGACAACTAGGAAAATTTAAATACTCATGAAAACATGAAACACTTTAGTTGTATCCCTGTTATTCACAATAATCTCCAGTTTGCTTTAAAAGATAAAAAACCCTTTAGTAATAAAGTGACATTATAATTTGAATTTGTATATCTTTCTTACTTCAGTTTCTGTAGAAAGTGCAATCAGACCCTTACCATACCTTATATTTATGCATGCATACGTCAAATAGGGTGGCCGTAACACCATTTATTTTCTCCTGGTGTTAACTTCTAAACTCACATAACACACTTCGGTGTCTGTCCCTTTTTCAATTGTCAAATGTAGCTGTTTTCTTTTGGACGTTAGTGATGCTTCTCAACAATCTCAGGCAAGTGTTGATGTTTCTTCAGATTCTCTGACTGAAATCCCAAGTTTGGCATCACCAAAAGCGGTATTCCATCTATATCTGTCTTTGGCAGATGGATTCCATCGTCTATCTTCTGCAAGAGCATGGGTAATGGTCATATTCAACTGCTGTAATAACTACCAGGTCTTAAAGCCTCAAGCAAAACACTGCGTGGAAGCTCCAGGACTATTTTCTGATTAAGTCCTTAATCTCTGCATTCAGTGTCACCAGCAACAGATAGGAGGCTTTAAAGTGGGGTTGTCAGAACCAAGCTCTGGCTTCTGTCTAAGCTGCGGCTTTCCAGAGATCACTCCTTCATTCCCTATGATGCCAGAAAACCAATGCATCCTTTAAAGTTTCAGTCCAGTAACACAGAGACCTTTATGATACAGAAGACCTGGCAAAATCAGCAGCTGCTGAACTGGCTGTTGTTACTGACATTGCTGTTAGTGGTGCCTGTCTGTAAGATAAAGGCAAGTAATAGATTTCACGTTGCTGTTGTTGGGCACATGCTGTGAGGAGATGGGATACAATGATAAGGGCTGCACCAACCTTGAGCCACTACTGGCTGAACCAGGTCCCTTGCAAGAAGTAAAAGTGTTGCCTTCTTCTTAGATAAAACTTGATACCAGATAAACAGTACAATTAATTACTTTCTTCTCATTCAAGATCCCTCCCATAACTGGAAAAGGTCTCCTGTGATGCATCATTAGCACACCAGTGTATAACCAACCCATCCTGAGAGCCCTTTCATAGTTGGTGAGTGCCATTGAGATACATCTCTTCTTTCTGATGGAGCCATGTAATACCTCTGGGAAAAATAATTCTACTGTCAATGCTCCCATCCTCACAATTATGAGATAGAGGATTTTTTGGCTCCATTGCTCCTTCCTGCTCATCCTGAGATGAAGGATGCTCACATGCTGTGAGTGTTCTGATGTTGAATGCCGATCCGACATCATGTGGGATTGAAAGAACATAGCCAAAACTGGAGGGAGGCATTGCAGTCTTTTATTGCAAGTCCTTGAGTCAGAAACCCCCCTTGGCTCCTTTGGCAATAATCTTAGATAGGAGAGATTTACTCTGAGAGGTATTAGAGGCTATTTTTCTTTATAATTGAATGATGGATCTACTGTGATGACCAGAAATCCTGCTGAGTTTTGTGTTCCTTTTTTTGAGAGAGAGAGAGAAAGAGAGAGGTCTGAACCTTTTAAATTTGCTTCTGGACATTCACAATCTCCATTTTGCTTTTGTTGCAAAGCTTGTTGTTCTCTTCCATTCTGTGACTTTGAACTGCGCAAGTGGTGAGTAGCAGAATCTGATATCTACGTCTCCCATTTCTAGAAAGACAAGTCCTTAGAGAGATCTTGCAGTTCCTGTTTGTACCAGACATTAGCAGAAAGCTTTGGATGCTCCTCATCTAAATGGTGGTGCACAAGGTCTCCATCACATGCAATTGTGGTTGATGCACAACTTCCCTCTGATTCTCACGCTTTGCTTCAGAGAAGGCTGAAGGGAATGTTTCTGGGCCTAACTGCCGCAGCATGACAGGCTTGATTTGGTGCTTCCAAACTTCCTCCTCCCTTTTTGGTATTTGGTACTGATCCTTTTTGATTATTCATTGAAACTAAAAATCTCCTTTCTTTCTCCTGATTCTTGGTAAAGGACCTCAGTGGCAATTTTAGCCTACTTCTTTCCTTTCACAGACAGAAACAAAAGAATGCTTTCCTAATGGGAAGTAAATGCTGTGCTCAGAACTTCCTTTTTCATTATAGTTCCTGTTTTTTTCAGGATAAAGAGGTTCTTGGGATGCATCTTATACTTCTTTTAAGGTGTTTTAAAGTTCTGTTTCAACTAAACCTATTTTTTCTGTTTTGCTTCCAAAGCCTCATTTCTCTGGGTTAGACAACCTTCATATCCTTCCTGTCAAGAGGTTTTTTCTTACTAACAGGACAACATGTAATGATGATATCAAAGACTGTTGAAAGTGCAAAAGCTATCATTAACTAGTGACTGTCAAAGTGCATAGCAGTTTAGATGAGACTCGCTTCTAAGACAGCCAAAGGGAATCTCCTACTACCATCAGAATATAAAGCAACAGAGCTCCAGAAATGCTAGTGGTTTTCTGGGAAGCTTGTCCATTCCACCTACCAACTATATTGTCAGCTGGAACATTATCCATAACTTCACCTGACATTGTGCCGTTCTATAGTAATCTAGAAATTATGCTGCATTTACTACTTGAAACAATCCTGGTAAGGATAACTATGTTTGTAGGCTATGATTTAAAACTAGAAAAAAGAGTTATTTACCACCTAGCATAATACTTTGAAAAGAGTAAGTCATATGTATGGTCATTTTGTGCCCTCTTTCCCATAATTTTCTTGGTTTATTTCACTCTGCTTCTACAGCTGAAAGGAATTCAAAATGTTGCCAGCTGTGTTCCACTTTAAATATATATAAATGTGTGTATGTATGTATATATCTCTTTCAATATCAGATGTTGTGTATTCATTCTTTGCTACACAGGAGTTATTATTTGTGTTCAAGTGATGGTGAATTTGGGATATTAGAAATTGTAAGTTTATGTAAGACCTGCCCATTCTGAAGAACACAGCTGCTGGTACATAATATTTCTCTGCCCTTCTCTTTCTTTATTTCTTTGGGTAGAGGGGAGAAGTTTGGAGTGGATGTATGCTGGATTTGTGTTTCCCAAACTTGAAGAGTGTACATTTATTTTGCAAAGTTTTTGTTCCTTTTCACTCTGCAGTGTTTTCCTTCTCTTTTTTTCACTCCCTTCTTTTTTTTTTTAATCTAGGAACATGCCTATGGTGATTATGTTTCTCATCAGAAAAATATTTTCACTCTTGACGTTAATATTTAGAACGTGAATTCTTCTTTTACCTTTTTTTTCTACTATTTTCTTAAATAGTACTGTAAATTCTTCTGCTTCAATGTGATTTTTACATTTCCTAATATTTTTTGCTGATTATTCTGCTGTATTTGTGTTTGCCAGTTCTGCTGGCTATTTAGCTTTTCCTATTCAAATGCTTCTAATGTATACTGACTTAATGGCCAACTTCTTCATTTTGAAGACATTTTTAATCACCTTATGATGTATTTGTTAATTTTTGGTCTATTCATGGTGTTTATTTAAGAGTATAAATGTTCTTTCAGATCTGGATTTTTCATGTTCTACTACTTTTGAAATACTGAAAGCTAATTCTCTGTGTATTTTAATAAACAGGCCAGGATTAAAGCAATATATGATGAGCTAGATGAAAAGCGAAAAGAGAAACTCAAGAAAAGAGTGGAAGATATGAAGATGATAGAAGAGATTGAGAGACAAATAACTGATCTAGAAACAAAATTTAACAGAAATAAAGATATATTTAAAGACAAAAATAAGGTAAAAGCAATAGATTCTGGATCACTCAGTAGCATATTTTTTTGTCATTAGAAAAAAATAAGGAGGAAACAGAAGTCCATAACTCAGAAGAGTTGGATTTTGCAGCTGTGCAGTTGTGCTGTGATACAACAAAACAAAACACAACATAATTCCAGCCTTATTTTTGACCTTTCTGGCTTTCTGCATTAGAAAAATCTGTCTCTCTTAACTTCTGCGGTTTGTTTTCATACAAAAGAGAGGACTGTTTAGTACTTGCTTGTTTCCTTTGTACTTCTTTGCTTATACAGCAAATTATAACCTGAAGAGAGCAACTAGTGTATAAGCCCCAAGCCATGGCATGTCCCAAGCCATAGCATGCTGGAGACCTTTTTTGCTTCCCTGCTTTATGGGTGATACTGATAAAAATGTTTTGCTTTCCTCTCCTGAAATGTCTGTTTTGCATAATAAGAAAAATAAACAGAAGATTTTTCGATTAAAAACAGGCCCTCAAGCTACTTGAATTGACTTAAATACTCTCTTCCAAGCATTTCTTTTGCTTTTTGTAGAGCATTCCTACCGTTATAGTGCGACATCTTTTGGCTGACCCCTCTATTCTGTTGAAGGTATGGCCAAAGAGCCATTTTCCTCCATTTGTCCAGTGATGACCTAGTAGCCTGTTCCCCATATTTGCATAGTATACTAGTGATGTTAACCTTCCCTGAGGTTAAAACCTTGGGAAAATTTTCAGAGAAATAACCTTTTGTCCAGACCTGCTCAAAAGAGTAACAGGAATACTAACTAAACTTGTATGACTGAGAAACATTTCTTTCATTATTATACTTTCCTCTTTCTGATCTGGTGATCTTTTAGATCTTTGAAAGCTTTGCTTATATGGAGTGCTGCAACAGTGGTAATAGAGAGCAAAGTACAAAGTGGATGTTATCTGAATAAACTACTGTTTGAAACAAGGTATTACAATGATGGATGCTGTTCAAAAATACCTGATAGTAAGTAGATGAGTTCACTAGTAGGCCTACAAACGTGAGACCTTAACTGGGTGAACGATCATTTCCTTAAATGATGCTGATAGTTTTATGTCCCCCTGCCACCTCAACAAACATCTGTAGAAACAGACCTTACTGTTCTGAAATGATGTGGAAATATTCAAAATCTGAGGCCTAGTTTAGTGCAAGATGTAATGTCTGTATGTTACATTGAAGCAAAACCCTCAAAGAAAACCATTCAGTCTTTCTTTTGCAGAATTGTTTGGAATGTAATTTGTTCACAGATTTTTTTTTTTAATTAGAAGCATTTCCATACCTTTGCTTTGCCCTTTTTGTAGACCTGTTTCTGGAGCAGGTTCTATTCCTTTTCTTCTTTTGGAAAATGGCTCTGAAAACAACTGGAAACATAGGAAAAAATTCAGTTGTTCTCATTCTTCTATCATGAGTAAAACAGAGTTTGGCTTTCACAGTGGTCATTGTACAAATCAGCAACACTGAAACTGGGGGCTGTCCTTCTATCATTACACTTAAATGAAGCTTTGCCTACTACTCAAAGCCTTTGTTCTCTATGCCACCATGAAATATGTGCAAATCTTTGCAAACAAGTCCTTCTAAACATGAGCTGCCCCACAGTGTATAAATAGGTGGGCATGCACTGGTCACTGTAATGAGGAGTTTTACAATCTAGGAAAGGTACTTGAAGCTTCCCATTTTTTGGCAAAGGAAATAAGTGTCTTAGGGACCTGAATTGAAAATACAGTAATCAATGTGAAAGAAGTAATTATTTCTTAAGTGTCTGTGAAGGAGGAGGGCATTTTCACTGGACCTTACTGCCAGAGAAGGAAAAGAAAATGCATTCACTTTTGTTTCCAAATCAATAGGAAACAAAACTAGTTCTTGATGGTTTATGTCCAGAACTAAAGCTAGGAGTTTTCAATAAACCATATTCCTGTTATGGAAGATTCTCACCATCAAGTAAGATCAACATCTTTAGAGCCCATTCAGTTTAGATACAGGATTTTTTATTTTCACTCAAAGCCCAGAATTTCTGCTGCCTCAGCGAGAAGTTTTTGTTGCAGAATCAGTCTGTAGGTTTATAGTACAACTACTAGTAAATAGCTTGTCACAGGAGATTGTCTTCTCCAGATTTTTAGCATTATTCTATTTGGAAGGTTCTTGACATAGTCTGCATGTAGCAATTCTTCACCATTTTTGGAAGAGAGATGGAGGATGTTGAATAATTTGAGTTTGGATAATGGATTATGTGATAGTTTATTTTTGATGCAGGTTTAATAAGTCAAATTGAAAAATTAAAAAAAAAAGATTCCTCTAATAGCTAATACTATTTTCAAAACAACGCATTAATGACAGTGACTAATGTTGTTAGCCCTTCCCCAACTAAAACTAAGTAGAAACAATGTGACAAAGATCACATCATTAGTTTCCTGGAAACCTAGAGAGGTGTGGTGTAAGTTATACATCATGGTCTATAGCTGTGTATTTGCTTCTGTTTTAAAAGCTTGGAAACAGAGTTTGCACAAGCAGATTTGTATATGACTGATATATGAAAGATACAGGTAATTTCAAGGAAGAACTTTCTTATTGATTAAAAGTTTAAATTACTGTTTCAGAATGGAAATATTAATACCTATTTTCATATTCTTTGTTATATAGTCTAAATGGAATTTAAATCTTTGAGTAAGATAACTATTATACAATTTATATAATCATATTTAGTAATGTAAAATTTTCCTTATTGTGTATTAATAATAATTTCTGTCATTTAATATTTGGTGCTCACACTAATGATGCAAATGAAATTAATGCAATAGACAAGAACTGTTTTTCTTGAGGTGCTAATTAATAATGGAATGGATTAATGAAAAAATATGAAAATGAGATATCCCAATATTTTAATTTCTTTCTTCTTCCTCCTCTTGTTAGCTGTCCTTAGCTTTTTTTTCCATGAGTTAGTGATAATGAGTAATAAACATTTATTTTGCTCTTTATACAAATTCTAAGGAAGCTATTCCAAATACATATTGATTTCAGAACTTTATTTGTAACTTTCTTGGCAGAAAGAAAGTAAAGAAACATGGGGAGCAGAGTAAGCAGAGATATTTTGCTGTGAGATGATAAACACTATATGAAGTAGTAGAGATATTTTCTGTTTTAAATGTGCATGTTTTCATTCAAAGCATAGAGTATATAAACCTACATGATGGAAAAATGGGCATGGAAGAGGAAACAAAAATAAGCTTAAGAGTGGTAACTGTTAAAGTATTTAATGCTAATATGTTTTCTGATTTCTATAGAATGTAGGACAACTTTTGAATACTAACACATCTGTTTATGCATAAACTCTCCAGAAGCTCTCCTATTTGGATCAGAGAGTACAAGAGCTAGATAAACAGCAGAAACAAACTGAACGAGAACTGGAACAAAAAAGAAGTATCATGCAGCAACAATTAAACGACATACAGGTGAATAATTTAATGCTTGTATGGCTTTTCTGAGCTATGGTTAATCTCAAAGGTTAGGCTGTCATTTCTACACAGTTGCCTTGGAACTATATACATACATACAGTGTATGCACTATTTTCTGTCTCTTGCTTGAACTAACCTATGAGGTCCATAGCCTTGAGACAGCATAAAGTACAAAGCAGAATTGATATTGGGGTCACTGAGAAGTCCTTTGCTTTCTTCATTTGCTATACTGGCTCAGATTGCTTGAGGGGCTTTAGAAATGTAATGGAGAAAATCAATAAGGACAAAAAAGATTCTAGTGTAATAGGAAGTGCCTGCTGATCGCATGTTTGCTCAGCAGATGGCATCTTTTTGTAAATGATGGCTTATATCTCCTGTATCAGTTACTAAACTGTGTAATACACCAAAGGGAATTATTGAATTTCATTATTGAACACAATGCTTTATATAAACATGGTTATAAGCATTAGAAGAAACAAGCATTTTCTTTCTAAGATTCTGTTCATTTTTATTATTCTTTCATTTGCATATTGTATAAAGTTAAGTTAGATATTACAGCATCAAAGATGAGTCATATAGATTAAAAAAAAAAAAAAAAAAGCTTTCATGTTGTTCAGCGTAGCTTTCATGAATCCAGTAATTTCTACTGAAAAACTCCAAGACTTCCTATATATGACAGAATCTTAAATTAAGCATTGGGAAATTAATTGATTCACACAGGTTTCTAAATTTGACAGGGAAAACAGAGTTTATCCATCCCTGTCTGTTAAAGATAGTGCTCTACTAAACTGCAGGTTTACCAATAGATCTTAGAACATGTGGAAATGACTGATGAGTCAGCATCAGATAATCAGTAATTCTACAATGTTTTTCAGTGCATTTATTTCCTATACTTTTTTATTATTGTTTTTAATGCTGCCTTTCCTAGTCACCATAAATAACTGTATCCATCAGTTACTTGAGCAATATTTGAGTTGGTGTTCTGGAGGAGTATTAGCGGAGTGTTCTGGGTAAGTGGAATAAAAAAATGTACAAAGCCTATTTTATGAGATCTGTAGAGCTCTGAACTGGTAACAACACTTAGATACCTTAAATCTTGCCTTCTTAGAGCCTAAAACAGTTCCCTGATTCTAGTTTTGTAAAAGGAGGGCTTTATAAAAGGGGCTGTCTTATTTTTAACAATAACTCATATTTCTAGCTGTGCAGCGTCACACTATATGATTCTGTTAATCATGTTATATAGTTTTTAAGGAAAAGTTATATTCAGAGATTTTAGTGCTCTCCCATGATTAAGACATTGGCATGTTTAAAGCTTGTCCAGTGTGTAGCTTAAGTGATGTTACAGAGGAAATGGCTATGATTCCATAATATTCTTAGTACCAGAGTAATGTAGTCTCCAACTTCTAATTGATCAAGCAGTTCACCTAATCCTTCATAGTTTACCTGTTTTAGGATGATGAATCACACCCTGGAGGCTTCTGCATCTCACCATTGAATTTGAAGTGACTTAGTTTGGTCTGCTGGCATTTAAATGTCTAAGAGTTAGATACCTAGATAAGAGCATATGAATTCTACCCCATAATACACCAGTAGCCTTGTTCAGCAGCTAAGAAGAATGAAGAATACTGTTCATGTATTGAACAGCTGAATGACCAAGTGCCAAGGGACTCATTCAGCTTAGGCAGGATATGCTGGACTGTTAACCACTACAGCAAGCCATAAGGAGATGATACTCAGTCTATCAATACTCGGATCACAGAATGTAGAGTATCTCACTATTTTTGTTTGTTTGTTCTAAAACCTGGTTGCAGATTCTCTGTGTTCTATAATAGGAATCAGATTGCATTGACTCAATGGCTAGTATTGCATATGCTTGAAAGCCAGCAGTCATGCTTTATCTGCCTTCTTGGTTAAAAAGTCCTGACAAAAGTGCAGGAAGTCAAAGGAACAAAATTCTTCTCCATTGGAATTTTTGTTCTAACACAGCTCATATGTGAACCTGACTGGCAAAAAACAAGTCATGGCTTCTTTCTGTGCATGTTTATATCTGGCCCTGATATCTTAATCATCTCAGATTTCATTATTTATAAAGTTTAAGGCTGGGACAGATCATACAGACATTCTGTATATCACAGGCTATGACATTTCTCCAAATTTTCCTTGTACTGAGCCTAAAACTAATATGATTTTTCCTCAGAGGTTTGAGACTCTCTATGGGCGGTTCAGTTGCATAGGGATTTGCATTAATTACCATATCTTCATTTTATTTCTAATGATTCTGTGTTCCTGCAAGAAACCTGAAATTTCCATCTAATCCTATACAGATTCATATTACACTTCTACAAAATTCAGAGGCCTTAAAAATGTCATGTTCTTTTGGTACCTTGCACACCTTCATATCTGTGGTAACATCTGTTACAAAAGCTTTGATTCCTTATTTTTTTACAGCTACCTTTTAGGTATACCTCTGAGAAGCACTTCTTTCATAAGGAAAAAGATCATTAGACTATGCATCAGGCTATGGCTTCAGAAAAATGGGGCACTATCTAAAGAAATTTTTAAAATACTGATCTTTATTTAAATACTGTGATGCATTCTTTGCCTACTGAATTGCAAAATCTTGAAATTTGGTATTTATGCATGTGTACACTTAGATTATATGTACATATGTTTATATGTGTATATATAAAGATAATCAAAAGGTATTTTCCTCCCTCTTAATTTAACCCATTTACATAGCTGCTTACAGCCCATTAGTATGGGTTACAAAATCTAATGCAGCAAGACCACTTTAGAAGTATCACCCAAGTAGAAGACTCCCACCTGTTTATTACTATTGAACTACTACAGTGCTTTATGTTTACCTTATTCATTGTGGGGAAGCTGCAGCTTTGTTTACCAGATACTGTTGCTCTTGAAAGCAGTTTGCTTGTGTCATGAATCTTTAAATTTTTGGGGCCCAGTGACTGTCAGTCACTTTTGGAATGAAAAAGACACTGCAATTTAATCTCACTTCTGTAGAATAGGAAGTTTAGTGAACACATTGTTTTTAATTTAAAGGTTTTCAGCAGCTTAATGTCAGCATCTCTTTGAGTTGTGTACTTGTAGCTGAGGAAAGTAGGCAGGAATTCAGGACTCTTGTTCTCTGTGCTTTAATCCTCCACTGTCTGGAGTACAGGACAAGTATGTTATGAAAAACTTGACATCTAAAAGAGGAAAGTCTCTATGAATGAATAGATGAATCTATAAATGAATAATGCCAGTTTTCAGAGATAACAAGTAAGCCATATTCTGCCTGGAGAATGTCCTCTAAAAATTCTTGTTTTTACTGCAAGTTCAGTGTTTTAGGTGTCTGCCTAAACCAGTAAACTTACATTCTGTAAGTACTTTGATGGTCTAGCAGTAAAAGTTGCCAGTTAAGACCCTGACTCTGCATACACTGAAACCAATAGACCCAGACTTGGGTCATATATGAAAATTGTTATTTTTCACTGTCATTAATAAAGATTTTACTGTGCAAGCTAGTACTTATTTGCAAAAATTTTATGTGTGAGAGCAAAAATAAAAGAGAATATGTATTTATGAAGACAGTGGCCTAGAAACGTCCATCCATCCATATACAACACAGGCAACTGCAGAAATACAAGTGCCATAATGAAATTTATGGATATATAGTAGAAGAATTGTGCAACAAGTTGGACAACTGTAACTGGATGTGCAAAGCTGTGCTCCTACAGAAATGCAATTATTCCAATTGCGCTAAGTGCTTCAACTGCCCCCTCTGAAAGAAGTTCTGTTTCTTTGAGTATTCACTTTCATGAATTGTTGCTCATAATCATGTGCTTAAAATACAGTATTTGGAAATCTAGCCTTGCCTAGTTTACATGCCATCTATGTTTTAATTCCCAGGAAAAAATTTCATTTGCTTCCAGTCAAATTGCTGAAAACTCTCACATTACAGAAAATTTTAAAAATGAACTTAAGGAACTAAATGAATTATGGAACATGAAGCAAATACAGATGGAAAATATAGAAGAATCTATCACTGATTTGCGGTAAGACAAATGAATTATATGAATTTTAAAATATTTTATTACTTTTACTGAAGTAATTTGGTAATTCCACTTTATTGATATTATGAAAGATAGTTTTATTATTTTACAGTATTATATCTAGGAAATGTAATGACCTTTTCATCAATAATTTGAGAGTATTTTTGTCTGATCACTGCTTGTAGTTTTAACGCATCTGTAGAGATTATTCACGATAAATTGTCTGCCTACCAAATTGAATTTTGGGCATCAGAATTACTTTTGGAAATCTGATAATATTCACGGTCAGTTGCATCCTTAATTAATAGAGGATTCCACGCACTCTGTGTTTTCTCTGGTTTAAGAAGTGTGGACCTGCACTTACTGTGACTGATGAGTCCTGAAAATAGTCTCAAAGGGCTCTATCGAACTGATAACGCAGGCTGCCTTCTAGGCCATGCAAGCCTTGGAGGGCTGTATATGCTGACTGCACAGCAGGCATATTCTTCAAGGATGAAGGTGAACCTGCTGTGCAATGTCAAAGAGAAAGCAGCTTGGACTGTTGAATTGTGGAGGATGACTAAATAGTGAAAAAGTGATCCTTGCATCATTATACTACAGCTCCCTTTCTGTGATCTCATTCACTTATGTACTGATCTTTGAGAGATTATTCCATGAAATTCTTGACTGGGGGAAAAAAAATATTTTTCTGTATACATTTTTTAGCTGAATATGTGGGACTGGATATGGGTTTTTTCCAACTCTTAATTCAAACAGAATGATTCAGAGGGACCCAATGTGCAGTGAAACTTACTGAACTTCAAGAATGGAAGGCATCTTTCTATGCCTGAAAATCTCTTCTACAGCTTTTAGCTAGTACTCAGTAGTTTCATATCAGTGACGTTATATTCAGATTCAGAGAAGAAAGGGATAATATCAACAGAAAATGGCACTGGAAGTTCATTCCATCAGTTCATTGTTTCTATGTATCTAAGAAATCCATATCTCTTTTGGAGAGGAATTTTCTTGCAATTTTTCCAGCTTCTAGACCTAAAATAGATAGTAATGAAAACCTTGCATTTTTCTTGAGAACATGCATTTAGAGATCCCATCTAGTAGAAAGAACTGTAAAGTCGAAAAACCTTCCAAAAAGTCCCCTCTGTCTTCCAAAGTGTGCATCCCAATGGCTAGTATATTCTCCTTCCATTTTGTCATTCTCTGAACACAGAGGGTACAGCACATGGCAATTTCTGAATCATGGGACTGACTGAAAACTGGCAGCACACTTATGCCTTGTGATTGCCAGAGCATTCAGTCTCTCTGTGCTCGAGGGGCAAAGGAGAAGAGTTTGGGGTTGGTGTTTTTTTATTGCTTACTGTTTCTCATTGGTGAAGATTAATGGTGACAATATTCAGAAAAAAAAAAATCTTTCAGGCTAACCTACCTTCTTCTATTAATGTTTCCAATAATCTTACATGTCACATGGCATTTCATCAACCTATCTTAAGAAAGTCTGCTTTACCCATTTCCTGTTATATTTTGTGTTTGCATATAGTTCGATATTAAATGTACTTATCTATTTGAACTTAACTTTCTTCTTTTTGTAAGAGTGCTGATACCTGCCTGACTTGATAGGCAAACTGGGAATAAAGGATTACCTGTTTTTACTTTCACTCTTGGCTATTATTTCCATTTTGGGAGCATGTCATCAGGCTAATTCTAGCCTGATATGGTGAAGAAACTTGAGGTAGAAGAGTCCCTGCCTCTGCTTTCAGCCTTTTATAGGTACTTACTAGCATCGTTCTCTGAATAACACCTCCTTGACTTGCTTACAATTAATGCAATAAAAAGACTAAATAATAGCTACTGGAGTGAAATACAAATAATGATACAATGTACCAATATAACAGTAATTTGAAATACTTTTTCTACAATAAAATTGACCACAAAACTGATGTCTACTGCAAAATTTAGCCTAACCTGCTAACCAAGGGAAAATTATATACCACAGGTATCCCACCTAGAAACTGTCTTATACCAATGACTTCTGCAAAATTGTTCTTGCAGTCTTGGAAGAGATAAAGACGTGTCTTCATATATGAAGTTAAGAATGAAAATGAAATACATTCACTCAATTGTTTTAATCTCAGTGGAGTTTGTTGCTAATTAAATTAGAAGGAAGATGAACAAATCATGTGAACTTAAGGTTTGTGTGAGGAGCTCGCTTGTATTGCAGTCCCTACCATTTATATGCATCAGTTCCCATATGGTCTGCCTACTTCCAGCGAGAAGGAAATAAGGGCAGGAAGCAAGTTAAGGGGAGGTACTGGAGATTAGGAAGGCTGGAAGGGTGTTAAAGAGAAAAGGGACTCTGGGTAATTTTTGATGGATCCCTTAGTCCCTCTTTAGAGAGGTTTTTGTAGACACTGATTTAGAGGAGGCCTTAGCTGCTCTAATTTTCTGCAAAGGGGATTGTTCTGCAGGGAGTCTCAGAAGAGACTGTGAGAAGGATCTTGTGACCTCCAGAATTTAGAACTAAATTCCAAAACTCCTAAATACATCTGTTCTGTCAAGTACCAGCTAATCTATAAGAAGGATAACAGCTTATTATTGGTCCCAGCTGTTCCTAGCTTGACAGCATAAATGGCTCCTGAGCACTCAGCGTAATCTTTACGTGACAGATTTTTCCCTTTCTCAGGCTGTTTGATTTGGTTTAAAATTAAATAACCCCCTTATTGTAGTGTTAAAATAACAATGAGTTTACACAACAAAGCCTTAAAATTAGAAAAAGTAGGCTTAAACTTGTCTCTTGAGTTTACTCTTTTGTGTGCACATTGTGATACACCCTTTACTATGCAGCCAACTGTTACATTACCTACAAGGATCTACCTTAGGTTATTTTGCAGAAAAATCAGTTAGAAATATATTTTTTTAAAAAATATACTTCTGCCTGGAAGTAACAGAAATACAGACCCTGGGAGACAGAATGTTAGTACAAAGTGAAAACCTCTGAAAATGGCTTAACTTTACATACTTCATATATACAGGTTAAAGTAACTGTACTAGGTATGGATAGAGACAGAAATAAAATACTGTGTAAATGGTGTGAACCTCCCACTTCCAGTCCCAATAAATAATAAAATCGTGGTTGCCCAATATGGCACTGGTCATGGTCTCATTCTGTGTCTCAGAATATCATTATTCAAGCAGATATTTACATGTGGGAGTGAACCAGTCCATTCTCTAGAAAGTTGTTTTAAAAATGCAAGTTGTTTTTTAAAATTATGAGAGTTATGTATCTCAGTAGACTCATTGGATATGGATTGATAGGCAAAGTGTCTTTAAGTGGTCTAAACATTCATGATAAGCTCCATCATATAGCTCTTTGTTTTTTTTTAAAGGGTATCATTATTTGCAAGAAGACTCTGTCTATTTTATCTATTATAAAATTAAACATTAAAGCTGTAAGTGAAGACTAAAAACCACTATAGCAGAATATCTTGATTACTTCACTGATTTTTTTTTTTTCTTTCAAAGGAAAAATTTAACTGGTGTGATGTTTAAGCAGCAAAATGTTCAGATGGTATTTAATCATCTCCAAGATGAGTTAGCAGAATATGAGAAAAGGTTACAGCATGAAGAAAAAACATACGGAGAGTTACTACAGATTAGAAAGAAAAACCTGAAAGATTCAGAAGTGAGTATTATCAGAGCTGGGTTTCTTTATGTGAGAAGTGAAACAACTGTTTGGTTAGTTCTTTTTTTCCTTTTCACCAAGTGCTCAGTAACAAATAAATCTCAGAAAATTTTGACTAAGATCAGCATCAATAAGTTTCCATTCCTTTTTAATCACTAAGTACAAGAGTAGAGCTCACTGCATGCAATCTTCTTGACAGTGCAGCAGTCAAACTCTGATCTATTGGATAAAGCTGTTTCTGAACTGTCAGGAGCTATTCCATAACAGGACCCTCATCTGGATCTTATATGCTGTGGTTGTTACCAAGCAGATGGGAGCCAGAGTCTGTGTAGATGTAACTGAGGAATCAGAGCTATCTGACATAGACGTATAAAATACACAGGGGTAATAACCACAAAATCTTCAGAGAAATCAGATGGAAATACAATTCTCTAAGTTATTTTCTGTATTATTTTATATTTAATTTTTTTTTGCTGAAAAAAATGGATAATTGCCTAACCTTTTGTGTATCATTTTGTTTGGTTTTACATGGAAATTATAACATTAAAATGTTTCTCCTTTGGGGAGACATTCCCAGATTAAGATTTTTGATATTGTAGCTGTGTTAAAAATAATTAAAATATTCACTTCTGATTTTGTGTTCCTTACTTTTATGCCCATCATATAGTTTTCTCAGTTAGCTTAGAATAGTTTAGTACATTCTCTTTAGTATTCACTTTTATTTCCTATTTACAATGTGTTAAGTAATGTTTTTGTTTGTTTTTGCAAAATCTGAACTTGATCAGGATATGGAAGGAAGGGAAATAGCAATAATAAGAACATGTTTTTCAAAAAATAGATTGCTACTTTATTACTTTTTACAGGGATACTAGTCCTTTCAAACTACCATATTTGGTTCCTTTGTTATGTTAAATTAATTCTGAGGTAAGAAGTACTTGCCAGTATGTTGACTTGCTCATTATCACCTTAACTTCAAAAATAACTGTAAGGATAATTTGGTGAGGTACCTTTCTTATCTCCTTCTCTAGGACATCAAGATTTGTTTTTCCTAATGTGTCCTGTTTCATCCTGTCTCGTCTCTTCCGCCTCCTTTACACATTGAGTTATGGGTAGTGCATGAAGTACAGAGCTCTTAATAGTATTTTGTTATTAAATTAATGTTGGAGTTATGAGATTATGACAAGCTTTTGGTGGTTAAGTATAAACAGAAACATGCTGCATACTTGAGAGCCTGTTTTAGTTTTTACAGGAATGCATTGCTGGTCTCAGTGACGACAACTCTGAGTCTAGGCCGACAGCTGGAATGGAGGCACACACTGCCACCCTTTGAATATTTACCTTGTTATTACATAGTCATTTTTATGTCATTCCTCATTATTTTTATGAAAAATACAAATAAGAACATTTATTCATGTCTATAAAATCCCAAATCCCACTGATCCATTTGAATTCTTTTTTTTTAAATTAAGAAATTACAAATAGAATATGTCCTAAATGTTTATATTACATCAAAAAGGTCTCTCTTTCTCTGCCTCCTCACATCGAGTTAATTTACTTTCTTTTTCTATCTAGTCAGGAAAGACTAAACTGGCAAAGCCAAATATTCCTTCAGTACCTTATAGAAAATTAAAAAATTTCAGCAGGGTCTTCAGTTCACTACCCAACAGAAATGGGCAGAAGGCCTAGTTCCAGTGGGTGGAGGGCAGTTTTTTAGGGCATTGGAACTACAATTTACAGGCAAGCTCTTCAAGGAGGCTACCCGTGATTTGTGGAAGTTGGGCCATGGCTTTTAGAAGGATGACCAGTTTGGCTCTCTGGAAAAGGTCACTTGGACAGCTTTCAGAAGTTTTTCCTGACAGAAAAAAGTCAAATCATCTACCTTGCTTTGGTATTGAATGATAAAGATAATTTTTTCTGCTTTAATCAGGGTTGAATGAAAAAACATTTCAATTCTGGTTTTTGGATTGAACAATTTTTGTAGAAGGGTAATGTGGTACAATGATTATGAGACTTTGTCACCCAGGGTCTGGAGATGAAAGCTAGTTTACTAAAATAGCAATGGAGCATACGTGTTAGACCAGTTTTCACAGTCTGAATCTGGGTGAGACCATTCAATGCCAGCTGATAGATAACTCAGTAGGAATAGACTAAGCATATTTTTAAGGTGAGAGATGAGTGGCTGAAGAAGTAATCCTCTCAGGATTAACCCTATGGGGAGAAAATTATAAAAGAGCAATGCCCTAACTTCTGGAGTACACAGTAAAAGAAGTGGTTCAGGAGATTCTGATCTAGGGTTTCTAGAAATTCCAGTGAGATTTTATACTGAATGAGAGCTGCCTGTCTCAATAGTTGAAAAAATCTGAGTATTTTGTTCCAAGTATCATGAAGTATAAAAACTAAAAGGGGATGTTTCCTATATAGGCTGTGAATATAAATGGCAATGTCATACGTATTCATAGCTAAGGTGAAAACAAAACCTCAAGCCACTCAACATAAGTTGTATCTTTTAGTTTGGGAGAAGTGCTGTTAGATGCTTTGGTTAATTCCAGGCTGAGATTTAAGCTGCAAAACAAACTCTTGATTCTGAAAATGGAAAGTTAATTCATAGTTCCTTCTACTTAAGGAGAAATGCAGATATACATGTCAATACAAAAAGCTAGAGGTGCACAGCTAGCAGCACAGTTTGGAGGTTAGAATTATCAATCATTGTCATTATCTCATTTTTAAGATGGACAGGTATGCAGAAGAGAATGATGCAGTAATAAATGGAAAGACCAGTGAGATTGAAAACCCCAGCCTGAGATCTACGGAAAGGTCCAATAAAATGTCCTTTTTGTGGTGACTTGTAGATTTTGTGAGGGTGAGTAAAAGCCAGTAAGCAAGAAGAGGAGAAAGGAAAAACTTTCTGCAGAGAAAAAAAGGTTTGAAAAGCTTGACAGGAAGAGGATAGAGAGTGACCTCTTCATTCAAGCAAGAGATCCCTCTCTCCTGGAGGCTAGTTGGGACTGTTAAATCTATAAAGGAGATCAAACAATCTTATCAAGAGAGAAACTGGCCACAAACTAGGTGAGAAATTTGGTGAGAAAACTAGGGACCCTTGTTGTCAGCATTGTGAAGGGCAGTGGAGTTGAAGATTGAAAGGAAATAGAGTTGAAGAATGGTCCTGATATGGGAGAACCTACATAGGAAACTAGTGGCTTCAGCAGAGATCCAGACAGAGAAAGAAATCTTGTGGAGCAACTCTTGTGGTGCACTGGGGGATAGAAACCATCTATTCATGAATATGATCAGAATTGAATAGGATGAGAAGCTGAAGAATCTGTGTGCCTGGTCCTTGCAGCAGCACACATGGTGTGATTTGGCTGGAGAGCCGAGTTACTGATTTGCAGACCTTCTAGATGCTGTCTTCTCCCAAGAGAAAGGGCTGCCAAGTGATAAGACTGTGACTCATGAATGTAACAAATCTCACAGGTAAATACAAGGTGTGACTTTTGTTTTACTAACAGGCATGCTATGAATGTGGTGAAATTTACGTGCATAATGATGAAGTTATGCCTTATAGGCATATTCTATCACTGTGCTATTTGTAACTACTCTCATAGCATCTCATTACCTTATGTTCTACAGAGGCAGTACAGTCCCCAAACTATCATACTGCCATTTGGTTCAGTGCTGATATGTGCTGTATTAAACACACAGATAAGAATTCTTTGACATAACAATTCATAATGAGTGTTGGATCACGCCTAGAATGATTATGCTGTGCCTTTTTTCTTAACCTCAAAACAAGCCTGCTTGCTCTTATTTTCTGCTGCTAATGTGATTATTGTACTTTCAATTAAAGTAACTGTAAAAACGATTACTGTGGGTTTTGAAGATTGAGCAAGACATTTTAAATGACCAAAACTCTCTTGGAATGTGAAAATTTGTCCTCATTAGTATTTGCTATTGGACACATGATAATATATTTCTGAAGTGCAGATGTATACATCTTTAAATTCAGACATCTGTAGATACAGACTTGTGCTTTGTTAAACACATTAAATGCTGTTACCCAAAGCATTAACAGATGTACTGATACTTTGACTTTCTTTTTCCTTTGAAATAGTAGCAATATAGTAACTTCCTAATGCTATTAATTAAAATTAGTTTTCTGCTAGAAACCCCTTACCTCCCAAAAATGTTTCTAGATTTTCTATGAACTTATTTGACTGTTGCATGATACTGGAAGAGAAGATGGTGATAAATTGATATTTCTTTAGCATTGTAACTTAAAATTGCACCAAGTTCAGCAATGTTTCATCTAAAACTGAATGAGAATTTATCAGATATATAAAAGGACATTTGGAAATTCCTTTAATGGAATGACAATATTGTCTCCTTATCACAATGCAGAAAGCTTAAAAGAGGAGGAATATACTTTTAAAAAAAATATTTTAAGTTTTATAGATATTAAAATAAGTTTTGAAGCAGTTATTATTAAAAAATGTTTAGTCTGCAAATGTTTGGTCAGCATGTTTTTACCTTAACTTAAATGTTTTTCATTTTAAAACAAATCAGCATGTTCCTATGACCACTTTCTTTTTTATAGAAAAGCATTTTCCATCTGGGAATGATATATCAGAAAATCCATGTCTAGTTCTAACAGCTAGTCATGATATGTTGTTTCATCAGATATTGAGAGTATTACTAATGAAATAATCTACAAAATGGCATATTTTAGAAGGGATTGTTATAGAAATATGATAATATACTGCTGAAAGCTGAATCAAGAAATAGGGAAAAACAAAGTTAGATCCAGGGGCTGTTTATCATCGTGGTATTAGGTAAAATCCACTGGGTATCTTTCATCATTTACTATTCATCTATTTAGGTTATCTTTTCTTCTAGTCATTCTTTTCAGGCTTGCTGCACTAATACCTTCAGAGCAGTTTCCATCTCTTACTTTCAAAAAATACTGTTAATCAATATTAATGTTACTGAAGAGCTTTGTTACAGCA